TGCTTTCCATTAGCCTGGAATATAGATGACCATCCCTCACCCTGAGTCTATATTTGTATTTTAAGTTGAGATTCTTGTATACAACAGATGTCTGGTCTGAGTTTCTGTATCCAATCAGCCAATCTGTGCTTCTTTAGAGGACAATTTAAGCCATTCACATTGATTGAAACTATTGATAAGCCCGACCAAATTTTAGGTATAGAGTTGTTCAAAATTCCAGTGGACGTTCTTAATCCTTTTGCCACTGTGGAAGTTGGAGTTTGATCAATAGTTTCTGAGTTAGTTTACTTTTGTGGTGGAGGATTGCACTGGTCATTATGGAGAATAGGTCTGAGAATATCCTGGAGACCTAGTTTGCTTATGGAAAATTTCTTCAATGGATGGATATCATTAAAGTATTTAATTTCTCCATCATAAATGAAACTCAGTTTAGCTGAATACAGGATCCTGGGCTGAAAGTTATTTTGTTTTAAGAGATTAAGTGTCGATGACCACCCTCTTCTTGCCTGAAAGATTTCTGTAGAGAGGTCTGCAGCTATTCTAATATTCTTCCCCTTGTACATTATGATTTTCTTACGTCTCACTTCTTTCAAGATTTTCCCTTTGATATTAACTTTAGTGAAGTTAATTATGATGTGTCTGGGGGATGTCTTATTCGGGTTGAGTCATGCTGGGTTTCTGAAACTGTCCACAATCTGAATTTCAGGATCTCTTGACATATCTGGAAAGTTCTCTTTCACAATTTCATACAGAAGAGCCTCTGTGTTTTGTGAAGCAACTTCGTTGCCTTCAGGGATTCCTATGAAGTGAATATTAGTTTTCTTTGAATTGTTCCAGAGCTCTCTGAGAGAATAATCCATTTTTCCTTTCCATTTCTGATTCTCTTTGGACGTTTGGACATATTCAGAAGCTTTGTCTTCTACGATCTGAGATCTTCTGCCTCTTTCACTCTGTTACCAAGAGATTCTACTGTATTTTTCAGATCTTTGAAGGCTGCAATCTTTTGCCTTAATGTTTCAAAATCTTTGGTGGTTTTGTCTTTGTATTTGTTGAATTCTTGAGTGAGCTTTTGGAATGTTCCTTGAATTTCTAGTTCTATCTTTGCCTCTATTCCATTAATCTTATTTGCAATCCAAATTCTGAATTCAATTTCTGACATCTCAGCCATCTGTTTATATAGGGGATCTTCAGTTCCATCTGCCACATCCTTTCTTGGGGGGGATTGACGTACTCTGGTTATTCATATTACCAGCCACATCCTTTCTGGGGCGGGGGGGGGTGATCTACTCTGGTTATTCATATTACCAGAGCTTTTCCACTGATTCCACCCCATGATTATTTTACCCTGTTTGGCTTTTCCCCTTGAGGTTTGTCAAGGACCCATACAGTGTTACGGCCTGAGAGACTGGGGATGTGCTTGGTGTGGTGGGGTTAAGTGGCTCTGTCTTATTTTCAGCTGGTCTCTTTCCTACCCTAGGGATTCAGTTTCTCTTGGTTGAAGTCTCTGCTGTGGAGAAATACCAGCAATTAAATTGCCCTGCCCCCCACAAACAACAATTGGGCAAGGAAAATCAAACCTCCCCTCAACCATACACCCAGGGTGCCCCTTTGAATAGTCCCTGGGTGGTCTGCCTGGTTTAAGGGGTCCAAATCAGTTGTCCTAGTCAGCACCTGTTTCAGGTCGAAAAGTTCAAATGTTTCCAGCAGCTAGATAAGAGGGGTCTGCTTGCAGCTCGGATATAACTTGCTCCAGTGCTCTGTGAGGGCAAAGGGACCCACCCAGCAAATGGGTTAGTCTGGGAAGGTTAATACCTGCTTCCCCACATTGCACCCAGTCACTCGTAATCCCCCAGCTCTGTGACCCTATTCACTCCAGTAGGCCACTGCTCCTGGGGTTTATGACTGCCAAAATCACCCAGAAATCTGCATCCGGCAAGGGGCCTTGTGTGTTTAAATTAGGCTGTGAACGTTCCCTCAAATCCAGCCCCTGTCTTGGCTAGATTCTTCTACCAAGTCAGAGGCTGCTAGAGCTGGTGAAGAACTCAGCTCTGGGCAGCAAGCAAATTAGAGTTTACACTCAGGTGTCAATTCCAGCCTCTGCCTGACCACTGCCTTTGTCTCAGCTATTCCCCTGAGAGCTGGTGCTAATGGTCTCTTTACTTACAAAAGTTCCCAAGTCTGTTGGGCCTATGGCAGCTGTCCGTAACCTCTGGTTGCCCAGAGAGATGGGGCTCGCCTATCTGGAATGGCATCAGTTTGCAGCTCAGGATGCCACTGTTGCTGTATGGCTTCCTCTGAGCCAACTTTCTTCTCCTCAGTCCTGTGCCACAGTCATCACAGAGCAGCACCAGCCATTTCCCCCTCCACTTCTCTCAAGGAGATGCCCAAGAATCTGGACTCTGTAGGTAACAAACCTCCAGACCTCAGGGTGAGGGAGGGGGGAGATCCTCAGAGTTCAATGTTGCAGATGGAGAATATATACAGTTTTATACAGTTTTACAGTTTTATGCCTGGCAGAAGGGTGCCGTGGCACGCCAGCAGGGGTAGGAGGTCCAGTTTTTAGGGGGTCTCTTCCGTGGGATAAAGTGGGAGGATGTTTGAACTCTGCTTGCTTGTTTGCATGAAGTAAACTGTGAGCCCTTGTTGTGGGGGAGGGGACTCCCATCTGCTTGGTGGTGGATTTTGTACCTTTTGCTTGTATTTTTGGGGTCGCAGCTCACCTCAGGAAGATTGAAGTGTGCTCTTCAATCTTCTCTCTTGGCTCCACTCCAAACCATCAGCTCTCTTGCTAAACTTCTGTCCTTTAACCCTTCTTCTGGACGGGAGCTTCTGTAAAAAGCGGACTGCAGTCCGCCATCTTGGCTCCACCCCCATGAAATGTTATTCAATGTGTCATATGTAAGAAGCTGTTATCCAGCCATTGACCTGTTGATTTGCAAAGCATATTTTAGTTACCAAGTTTACCAATGACAATCAGGCCTGAGGATGATTACTGCCCTCGCCTCCACCCACCGCCCCCCCCCCCAAAAAAAACATGCTCTTGCAACTTTAAGGACATATTGAAGATCCTTACAAGTTCTTATCCATGTGGTATCCTTTCTATTATTTCCCTGTGGCCTGAACACACACAATGGAGACCTCATCTGGGATGATGGTTACTGAGAAACCCTCCCATTGGAGACATCCTTTGCTGCAACACAGGGCCTGCTTACAACTCTGATTTTAGAGAGGAAGAGCTAACCATGTACACAGAATATATAATTTTGCATTAAGATGTTATTCAAACTCCAGTATAAGGGCTTAAGTAACAATAATAGCACCACTTACTGAACAAGAGATTTTAATTTATACTTCAGAGTATAGTCTCTCATCTTAGAGAAATGTACTCATCTGGTCTTCCTGACACCCTCAGTCATGGATGTCATCTCTGATTCTTGCCCTTGATTTCACTTACTGCTGGAAAGCTTTAAACCTGGGTTATGTTTATAAATGCTTTCTAGTGTCGTAAGATTTCTGTTTTGAAATCTTCTTATTGGTTTTGGCTCATCCCTCAGAGAACACTGAGGAAATTTGACCTCAATCTTGCTATATTTAAAGAAGAAGACTTATTTTTTAGCAAATTTTATTGTGTATATTTAAGGTGTAGAACATGATGTAATGAGAAAAATAGATGCAGTAAAATGGTTGTGATAGTGAAACAAATGAACATATCCATCATCTCACATTTACCCAGTGTCAAGAGCAGGTATAATCTACATTCAGCAAAATACTGAATACAAGGTCTGCCAATTACATTCATGAACTCATTCTAGAAAAAAGTACTATATAGCTCATTGGTCACTTTAGGCCACTCTCCTGGGAAAGCTATGCACTGATGTCAGGGTCTAGTCTATCCTTGAGAGCACTTTTTGTAGGATGAGTTCATGAACGCAATTGGCAGACTTGAATTCTTTATTAACCAGAGTCCTCATGTTATACATAAGATCTTGAATCTTAATTTATTTTTCAAAGTATGGTGACCCATTCAGCTAGCAGAAGAGGGGAGGGACAAAGTAGTGGTGGCATTGGGTGTCTCAACCAACAGCAGGATAAAAGCACTAAAGTAGGGAGGTTAGTGAGTGAGGTATGGCAGGGTTCAGGGGAAATATACACCTAGACACTGAGAACTCACCATGGGGCTTTGAGCAAAAATGACTTAATATGTTTGTGTTGAGTAAGTGAATGAGAGGACTGATACCTCCCCTGCTGGGACATTTTCTTACAGTAACTCATGGAGCCAGAAGCTGGGACCAACAAAACTGCAGTTGCTGAGTTCATCCTGCTGGGCTTGGTAGAGACACCGGAGCTGTGGCCAGTTGTCTTTGTACTCTTCCTCTTTGCCTACCTGGTCACTGTTGGGGGCAACCTCAGCATCCTGGCTGCCATCCTGCAGGAGCCCAAACTCCATACCCCCATGTACTTTTTCCTGGGGAATCTATCAGTACTGGATGTTGGGTGCATCAGTGTCACTGTTCCTGCAATGTTGGGTCATCTCTTATCCCACAAGCGTGCAATTTCCTATAGTGCCTGCCTTACACAACTCTTCTTCTTCCACCTTCTGGCTGGGATGGACTGCTTCCTGTTGACTGCCATGGCCTATGACCGATTCTTGGCCATTTGCCGGCCACTCACCTATAGCACCCACATGAGCCAGACAGTCCAGAGGATGTTGGTGGCTGTGTCCTGGGCTTGTTCCTTCACCAATACCTTGACCCACACTCTTGCCTTAACTACTCTCAATTTCTGTGGCCCTAACGAGGTGAACCATTTCTACTGTGACCTCCCACAGCTCTTCCAGCTCTCCTGCTCCAGCACCCAACTCAATGAGCTGCTGCTCTTTGCTCTGGGTTTTTTAATGGCAGGTACACCTGTGGTTCTCATCATCACCTCTTACATCCATGTGGCAGCTGCGGTTCTACAAATACGCTCAGCAGAGGGCAGGAAGAAAGCCCTCTCCACATGTGGCTCCCACCTCACTGTGGTTTTCCTCTTCTATGGGACAGGTATCTTCAACTACATGCGTCTGGGTTCAGAGGAAGCTTCAGACAAGGATAAAGGGGTTGGAATTTTCAACACTGTTATCAACCCCATGCTGAACCCACTTATCTATAGCCTTAGAAACACTGATGTTCAGGCTGCTCTGTGGAAGATACTCATGGGGAGGTGTTCATTGATCTGAGAGGTGATCCCTCCTTCCTGCCTCTTCTGGATGGAGGAAAATTTCGCATGAAGGCAGTAACCTGTAAATAGACCATAGCCATTTTTTTTCTTGTCTCCTGATGCCTGAAGATCAGTGCTCCATTTTTGTCATACAAGGAGACCCTGCATAATTCATTCAACACATACTTATGAATTACTTCTATGATCCAGCCAGTCTTATAGGGCATTGATGAAGGCAATAGACAAAATCTCTCCATTCATACCACTCACATGCTGCAAAAGTGAACAAAATAAATAAGCATCACATATCATACATCACATGGTGGTAAGTGCTACAGAGACAAAAAAGATGGAGGATGTGAAGTTAGATTCTGCCACTCAAACAAGCCTTCTGGGCAAGTGGCTGCCTTGTTTTTTTGGCTATGTTCATTTTCTGGGTAGAGTTGAAGCCTCATATTCCTGTATGCCTGGGAAACAATGTTGCATGGGGAAGGGTCATTTGGTTAATCATAGCTTAAGTACGCTTGGTGCTTATTGCTCAAGTGGCTAGGGCGCCAGCCACATACACCGGAGCTGGCAGGTTCGAATCCAGCTTGGGCCTGCCAAACAACAATGCCAACCCAAACCAAAATAACCAGGCATTATAGCGTGTACCTGTAGTTCTAGCTACTTGGGAGGCTGAGGCAAGAGAATCACTTAAGCCCAAGAGTTTGAGGTTGCTTTGAGTTGTGACACCACAGCACTCTATCCAGGGCCAGAGCTTGAGACTCTGTCTCAAGAAAAAAAAAAAAAAATCATGGCTTAAGTTACTAATAATATCAATGCAAAGTTTTCTTCTAGTGGGGATGTGAAATTCTCTTCAGATTGGAGTGTGGAATTTTTTTTTTTTTTTAAGCCACCAGCTCAGTGCCAAAAATTATTTATCACATTCAACTGTTTGCCTTTTATCTTCAAAAAAATAAGTTTCTCCTATTCATTATCACATAAGAATTCTGAAGATGTAATGATGTAAGTAGAGAACAGAATGTGTCTAGCAAGGAAAAGAGTCCACTAAATAAAACTACATGAATGCATACATGATGTATCTTAAGTCAAGAAAGGCATGTTCCAGCTCCATCTCCTGGTGTGTCTTTTTCTCTTATTTAATGTCACCTTCCTCGCACACACATAAGTTAAAGCCTTTGACAGTCTTCCATTCAGGCTGCTATAACAGAACATCATAAACTGGGTGGCTTATAAACCAGAGAAATTTATTTCTTGCAGTTCTGGAGACTGGCAAGTCCAAGATCAAGACACCAATAGATTTGGTGTCTGATGAAATCCCACTTCCTGCTTTGTAGATGGCTGTCTTCTCACTTCACCTTTAATGGTGCAAGGAGTTCCCTGGGCCCTTGTTATAAAATCCTATCTATCAGGGCTCTGCCCTCATGACCTAGGCTCCACCTCCAAATACTATCACACTGAGATTAGGTTTCAACATAAGTATGGGGAAGAGGGAAGACAAACATTAGTCTACGTCTCCATCAAGCCACTCTTCCTTCTGTAATGCTGTTTTTGATTTCTAGCGTTTTCTTTTGATTCTTAAAGTTTCCATTGTTCTCCTTACATGTTTTCCACTTTTCAAATACAGCCCTTAGAATATTAATCACACTTATTTTAAATTCCCAGTCTGATGATTCCAAATCTCTATTACATCCGAGTCTAGTTCTAATGCTTGCTTTCTAATGCTTGCTTTGTCTCTTCAGGCACTATACTTTGCCTTTTGTAATTTTTTGTTGCATGTTGGTCATGATGTATTTTGCAAACGGAGCCATGGTAAGTAGGTCTTTAGTGTGAAGGTTTGTTTACCTGCCCAGGAATCCTACTGTGCTTACTTTTTGCTGTACACATAGGTATCAGAGGCTAAGATTTGTCTGGTATTTTTTTTTTGTCTCCCCATTATCTTTGCATTTCCCTAGACATTCCTTCTTTAATAGAATCCAATCCTTGAAGTTCTTTCCATTGTAATCACTTCATTGTATAGGAGAACTACTGATGTGGTGGTGGAGACATACTGATGTGGGAGCAAGGAGCACATTCTGTTAATATAATCTTACAACTAGGTCCCAGTCTCCCTCAAGACTCAGGTCTCACTCTGTGTCCCAGTCCTGCTCAGCTCCCTCCTCCCTCTTAGGTGATACTGGAAGGATAGAGTCATATTTCCTTTCCTTACTAGAGGAAGTTGGATATTTTTCTCCCTCCATGTTCTCGATTGGGCTCTGGTAAAACCCACACTTGGTTAGGCTCTGGTAAAACAGTTTCCCTCAAGGGCAAGACTTTGTTTTTTT